GTTGTATATAAGTGATGAATCACAGGAATCTACTCCCAAAGCCAGACTACACTGTATACACTGTATATACTTAATTACTCAAGTTTAAAAACATAAATAAATAAAGTAACAGCAAAATATTGATCAACCAATGTTCTCTCTGTTTTTTGTATGGACACCCAAGGAGTAGGGTTCCAGTTAGCATGTGCTCTTTATTGCTTTCAAGCAACTGTCCACTGGTTTCTCAGGTATCCACATACTTGCCTGTAAGAGGCAAAGGCAGAAATGGGTATCATAGTGTCACCACCTGCAAAATGGCTTTTGTTACAACTGCGTAAGTGCCTCTCCTTTTATTCTTTTTAAGGAAATGGATTTTTTCCCTGCCATCAAGTAGGTGCCTTGCATTAGCTAAAATGGCCCTCTAACCAGCTGGGTCTAATTCAGCAACTATATTCTACCTGTTCTGAGTTAAAGGACCACGTCTTCTTTACAACATACAACACAACACAAAATGAGCAGAACCATGTCTCTAAAGAATTTTAAATAAAAAGATAAATAGTTTCAGTAAATATTTTTTCAAAATCAACTTGTTAATGACTCCTCGATTACACTAGAACACCTAATGGCAAGAAAAAAATATTTTCCAGTTGAGAATAAGAAGGACAATGTAGTGTAGTCTCTGAAAAGTTAAAATCCTATATTCTGAGACTTCTTACTTTTTTGCACTGTTAAAAGTTTACCTTACCTTTCGGTTGTTAACATGTGATTTCTGGTACATACACAGAGAAAAACTGCTTAACAAGTATTCACTAACGTTAAACCAGCTGTGCACTTCACCCTTCCTCTTCTTGGTATATACACAAATGAAGTACACATGTCTATCAGGACACACGTACTACAAGACAGGTTCAGAATAGAAACTGGAAGCTACGCAAATGTCCATCAATACTGCAATGAATAAATTGTGGTCTATTCGTATACTGGAATACCAGGTGGCAATAATAAAGAATGACCTTGACGTGCAACAATGTGGGTGGATGCCATAGACACAATGGTGAGCAAAAGATGCCTGACTCCCAAGTACTTAGGACATGACTCCTTTTACGTGAAGTTCAAAAACAGGCAAAGCCAATCTAAGGTGACAGTGGTCAGATTATAAGCAGAGAAGGGGTCTGACTGAGAGGGTGTATGGGGAAGGCTTTTGGAGTAAATACTCTGTATCTTAATACTCTATATCTTAATACTCTATACCTTAATACCCATGCTTACATGGGTATACGTATATGAAAAAAATCATCCTATCAAGTTGTATATTTAAGATGTGCATCTCAGCTCATGTAAGACATGCCTGAATAAAAAGATTTTTGTTTTGTTTTGTTTTGTTTTTTAATTGCGCCTGGGTGGCTCAGTTGGCTAATTGTCAACTCTTGATCTTGGCTCAGGTCGTGATCTCAGTTTGTCAGATGAGGACCCAGTGTAGGGCTCTGTGCTGACAGTACGGAGCCTGCTTGAGATTCTCTCTCTCCCCCTCTCTCTGCCCCTCCCCGGCTTGTGCTCTCAAATAAAAATAAACTTTAAAAATAATTTTTTTAAATTTTGACACAATCAGGGGAAATTTTTAAATTACAATTTACATTACATTATAATGTATCTTAAGGTATGTTGGTGACAGAAGACAGCAATTATGAGTTCAATGTCTGTCTGTACATGCAAAATAAGTTATAACTCCATACTGGTGCACTCAAAAACTTCTCCCCCAACTTTTTAATGTGAATGTTTATTTATTTATTTTGAGATAGAGCAGGGGAAGGGCAGAGAGACAGAATCCCAAGTAGGCTTTGCATCTTCAGCACACAGCCCAATGTGGGGTTCAATCTTCCGAACCATGAGATCCTAAGCTGAAACGAAGAGTCAGAGGCTTAACTGACTGAGCCATCCGGGGGCCCCTCCGACTTTTTAATTTGAAAAAGTGTAAACCTAAAGAAAAATCAAAAGACTGGTGCAATTAGCAACCATATATCCTTCATCTAGATTCGCCAATTGTTAACATGTTGTTCTAGTTACTATTAGTGTTGGCTGAACTATTTGAAAATAAGTTGCAGACATCTTGACATCTCACCCCTTGAGGATATTCTGCTATACAACCAGAGTGTCATTAATCATCCTTATGAAATTAAACACTGATACAATAATACTGTTTAATATATAGCTCATATTCAGATTTCTCCAATTGTTCCAGAAATGTTCTTTATAGATTCTCTCCATCACTAATCCAAAGCCCTACCATTGATTACAGCACTGCATTTGGTTGTCCTATTTCCTGACTCTCTTTTAATCGGGTACACCATGTCCAAGTGGGTTTGTTAATTTTTTAATCTACTTTTGGTCTTTCATGACATGAACCATTCTGTCCCAATTTTGTTTTTAAGTTTTCCTGGTATCTGAAACCCAAATGTCTGCAAACAAATGGTTTCTCTTTCCTTAGTGATACCTATATGCTGACAGACTATTGGGGTGAAAAACTATAGAGACAGGACAGTTCAGTTTCACACACGACTCATGATCATTCTGCTTTAACTCACCGCTGAGTCTGAGCAGGCCATGGGGTCTGGTTTGGCGTGGGCACTGAATTCGTGGGACTCACTAGCATGGCACTGTAGATATTGGAAGCGACCACGAGTATGCAGAGAAGTATGGGCCCAATGATTGCTCCTTCCAGGCCTAAGTAGTACGCCCCACCAGCCACTGCCAAGCCTGTCAAGTAAGGATGCCCACCTCTGGAATAAAGAGCATACAGGTTAGCTCATGGTTTTTTACACACATAAACTTTGGAGTCAATCTGAAACACATCTCTAACACAATGTTCATTCCTAACATATAAGGCCATTGATTGCATGACCAGTTTTATTTAGAGTACATCAGTGCAGGTAACTAAACATCGGTTGTAATAATAATGAGAGGCAAACATTTTCTTACCTAGGTAACAAGTACAACGTTTTCCTTTTTATAAGGTCCCACAATGAAAGGAGTTAAGTCAGACTGTTAACAGGTATCCTACACCCCTCACACAGCTGCCTGGCCTAGGTGAGTGTTGACTGAGGAATCGTTGCTAAGTCACTTGTTAAGTTAACTTCCATCAAGGATAGTTAAGTGGGCACAATGCAGCGTGTAATTCAAATAATTATGCTTTTTATAAGATAATATAACAGGACCCATGATATGCATAAGTTAGACTTGGGGCAACCTTCTAAAATAGTTATTAAACACAGGTAATGCTACAAGGCCTCATGAGGAAACTATCCGTCACAAAGCCCAAGATTCTATTTCACAGGAGAGTCCTAATTGCCTTCCAGCTTATCACAGTATCACTTACATAAGTGGTATACAGTAAGGCAGATCACAGCAGCACAGCATACTGATAACAGTAACAAATGACCACAGACATAAGAAGGACTTGGAAATAAGGTATGTTCTATTTCTAGTTTTCAAACACAGATGACTTGAACAATTTACTGAGGGGCAAATAGCTGACACTCTGGAATAATGTTCTGTTCTGAATTATGTTACAATTCAATAAATAACATTTAAGGTGAGCTAGTCTTCAGAAAACCAATACAGTATATTCATAAACTATCTTCCTCATTCAAAAAAAATTGGGGGGAAAATTTTAGGGCAATATTCCACATATGCTACATAAGTAAGCTTTTCCCCTAAATAATACATCAAAAACTTTTTCTCTCAAAAATGCTAACAGTTAGGGGTGCCTGGGTGGCTCAGTCAGTTGAGCGGCCGACTTCGGCTCAGGTCATGATCTCGCGGTCCGTGGGTTCAAGCCCCGCGTCAGGCTCTGTGCTGACAGTTCAGAGCCTGGAGCCTGTTTCAGATTCTGTGTCTCCCTCTCTCTGACCCTCCCCTGTTCATGCTCTGTCTCTCCCTGTCTCAAAAATAAAATAAAACATTTAAAAAAAAAATGCTTAACAGTTAAAAAAGAAAAAAGTGTGGAAGCTTTCAAATTAAGTCTTCCTTTATTTAAAAACTAAAGCAATTTACACAAAATCTTTATTTCCTGATGATGCTGGTTAAATAAGGTATTATTAAGATAAAATCACATAAATTTTAAATTCTACCTAGAAACCTCAATAAAAAATTTATAGCAAAGTTTAGAGAAATGAAATCATTTAACCATAAATCACATAACTACTCTTACTGTTTAAATTTCAACTGTTAAGTACTAGTTAACCATACTCTGATGTCCTCCTTTGGTCTTTCATTTTCTCTTTCAAGGTTTAGACATAAAAGTGCCACTAAGACTGGCATATGCAGTTGCTGATTTCCTTTTGCTTGGGAAGTCTAGGCCTTCAGTTATATACCATTTGTTTCTGCCTTCACTTACTAGAGAGAAAACAAGGTAGCAATTTGTCCCTATATAATTTCAAATTAACTGAAGGTCACTCTTTCCATGAACACTTACTGCAACAGTAAGTTTTACTTGCAGAAAATTTACTATATTACCTATTATGATAGTTTCAGTACGCATATTCTGAACTGGGGTAGCTGATTAGAGTTCAGCATGCGGTCACATCCTAGATTCTAACAAGCAATGAGAATATGATACATGACTAAATGAGAATTGGCTTGGTTTACTTAGTGCAATTTTGAAAAGAGGTACCAAAATCTATAAAAACAGGTATTTATTTATTATACGGTCAGTGTTTGGATTCTGTCTTAAATTTAACCCATATTCATCATAGAACCATACTATAATATCTTAAGTAAAGAGAACTCTGCTTATCAGACATTAACTTGATGAGATTTGGTTGCACATGGATCCTCAGATATACAATTTAATAATGTTTTTCTCCAAGAGCAAAGTAGTTCTGAAAATAACCACTAATTCATTATTGTACTTACAGCTATTTATGTACATCTAGTAATATTTCTTTCCTAGATTAATGTCACTAAAACAGAAGATTATACATAATTTTGTGTTAACCCAGGGTCTCATACATTTTAAATACTTATGTAATAAGAAAATAGCATACCTTGAAAATGGTATTAATTATATTACATTAAATTTTGATTCTATCAGTGGGATCACAAAAGACTACTTCACAGAAAAATCCTACCACGTGTCCCTTCTCCCATCCCCAAAAGAAAAACAAAACAAAACAAACAACTCTCCTTAAATAAAAGGTCACATAAATCCCTGGATAGGATTCACCAACCACTTGAGAAGTTCTATGGATACTTACCCTGATATATCAGAGTAGATGGCAGTGTCTACAAAGTATGTTGGCAAGAGATGAAAAACCAACAGTAAGATGGCTTTGCACCCTAAGCCTTGTGTGAGCCACAGGTCTAGAACGGCAGGTATTGCCGCCCAGTATGTCCCCAGAAATGGCACCGCTCCGAGGATTGCTGCTAACGCTAATAAGAAATTGAAAGAAAAGCAACTGAACATGACATTAAAAGAGTGACAGAACATCGGAACTTCACAACTGGTTCCTCCTACTTAAAAGTTTACACCAAAACAAGGGAAATAAATACAAACTCAAATTTTAGCCCATGATAATGCCCTGTGTAACTGAATCTGCTAGTTAAACGGAGGTCTGATACCTTATATCTTAAAACCTGATGCTGAAAATCTTTCTAAAGTGTGTGTGTCTACATCCTGGGTTTCTTCTTAAGCAACAAAATTCTAGTATCCTGCAGTTGTTGTTGTCTCTTTTTTTCCTCCGAGAGAGAGAGAGAGAAAGAGAAAGAGCACATGCATGAGCAGGGTAGGGGCAAAGGGACAGAGAGGGCAGGAGACACAGAATCTTACACAGGCTCCATGCCTAGCATGGAGCCCCACGTGAGGCTTGATTTCACCAAGTTGGGGCTCAAGTTCATGACCATGAGATCTTAAGCTGAGCTGAAATCAAGAGTCAGATGTTGAACCGACCGAGCCACCCAGGTGCCCCCTGCAGTTGTTATTCTGAATCAATGGTTAGTTCATATACAGTCCTATAATGTAACTGTAAAGCATTGGTCCAAATTTGTACGGGATCCAAAGGCAAATTAAAAATTAGTTTCTAAACCTCAGAGAGGAATGTATAATCTTCACCTTGCTTCTAATAAAAATGAAACGTAATCTAAACAAAAACAAGAACAAAAGCCCTGCTAGTTGAAGGAGGTTACTTCAAGTTCACCCCCTTCCAGAGCTGTATGCCCACTCTCTCTCATCTGGTTCCCCTCCAGAGGAAAAGTCAGGCAGATATGGATTCTAGTTCTGGTCCTACCACTAACCAGGTATGTGACCTTGGAAAACTTTTGGTTTCTCACCTATACAACAGGAACACTACCTACCCTGCCTGCCTCACAAGATCATTATAAAACAATGACCTCCATGTGTTGTCAGGCTGCTTGCATGTCAAAGAGTGGCTTAGCCAAGACTGAAGTAGGAAAGAACATGAATGAACTTGGGGATGTAAAGAAGAGTGTGTGGAGAAAAGGGGGAAATGGTAGAGGGTAGACAAGCAGCCACAGAAATAAAGGAAAAGTGGAAGGAGAGGAGCAGAAATAATGCAGAGGAAAAAGTAAAAGATGGTTATTGAACCATCAAGGTGCTTATGGAATGAGGGCCTTATCAGAATAGATCCTAAGAGGTATGGAGACAGCTTATGTGCCCTCAGAGGCATTTGTCTTGCCCCTGGGACAGTATCCTTCATGGAACAGAGCTATTCGACCAACTCATTGCTCCCTATCAGTTCAATTCAAACATTTACCGAGTGCCAATTATTACTGAGTACCAAGTATTTACTGAGTACTGTGTGCTGTGCTAAGTGCTAGGACATTCACTCATTTATCAAGTACTTCTGCAGTGCTTTCTTTCTGTTTTTTAATGTTTTATTTATTTTTGGAACAAAGAGCATAAGCAGGGGAGGGGCAGACAGAGAGGGAGACACAGAATCTGAAGCAGGCTCCAGGCTCCCAGCTATCAGCACAGAGCCTGATGCAGGGCTTGAACTCAAGACGGACTGTGAGATCATGACCTGAGCTGAAGTCGGAGGCTTAATCAACTGAGCCACCCAGGTGCCCCTTATGCAGTGCTTTCTAAGTGCTGGGTATCATTCTAGCTACTGGAGATACAGCATAAATAAACATTACAAATCATACTTCTGCTCCTAATCTAGACTAGATTACATCTCAAAATTTAGTATTTTAAATTTGAGGAAGATGACATTTCCCAACGTACGTAAAATGGCTTCATTTTCCTTAAATAGAGGACAGGGGAAGTTAGGATACTATCGTTACCTGATGGTATGAAGACAATATTGATGCCAAATATAGTATGAGTCAGCCAAGTGTACAATCCGTAGAAGCCAGCCATTTTGAGGGAAGCATCAAACACCCCTCTAGAATACCCAAAGATAAAAGGGAAAGTAAATAAACACAGTATCACATTGCGATGCAAAAACGGAAGTTGTTCCAGGCCTCTGGCTACTTCATTCCAAATCTGATAACAACTTCAATTTTTCCAATGGCCTGAGAATGCCCTTTGCATTTTTATTTCAAAGAAACATAAAGCCTTTATTTTAAAACCCCAGAACAAGTTTAGTAAATTTCTCTGATGAAAAAAATAACTGAAATGAAACACCTTAAAATACCCTGCTCGCTGAAATAATTAATCAACTTTTCACCTCTGAAGCACATCTTCCACCACCAAAATAAATGGAAAATAAAAAGTAAGTATGACTCTCTTATTTCCGAGGACATAAACTCTAAGAAATCTGTGGCCAACCCTCCCCTTTGAAGACAAGTGCAAGAGAATTTAACCTGCATTTCATGGGTCTCCTCTTATTAACAAAGTTTTCCCACATTCCTTCAACTCTGCAACCAAGCCTACAGAGTAACTTCTACAAATGCTATCAAAGAATGCAGGTTATTGGGAGAGAATTTATGGAAGAAAAAGAAAATCTTATTACCTCCCAAGTAAAATGAGAGAGGAAAACACAAAAGGGGTAAAAACAGATCCACATAGTTGGTGATTAGTAGGAACAAAGTACATGAAAATCTGCAATAGCAGGTGCTTCAGCTTTGGTTTCCAGCTGGAAGATTAAGGTAGTGTTGTGTGAAGAGTAATAAGGAACTGCTCAGAGAGAACACAAAGGCAGCAAACCATAAGTTTATGATGCCAAAGGTATCATAAAATTACAAAACCAGGACTCTGGGGGGTACAGGGGAAGCAGGGTCATATACTCATGAGAGAAGGAAAAGCTGTCTATAATTAAAAAAAATCAGGGAACGTGGCAGCAAAGGGGACACTGTACACACAAAAGGAAACGATAAGCTTTTCCAAAGCATTCCAAGAGATGTGCTGTAAGAGCAAAGCCAACCTAGTGATTTAGTCATTGTAACAGGGTTCTGACACATGGATTTGGTGACACGGTGGCTCCCCAAATTGTGAAACCTTCTTCGTCATCCTGACCAGCAGCTTTCACTCAAGAATATGGGGTTGCCATGTGCCTCTGACAAAAAGATGCAGATTAAAGTCGTATCAAAAAGACCGAGAGGAAGGGAGAGAGCCCAGAGGAAACAGAAAAGATCTGAACTGAATAGGAGACGGAGGAAAAAGAGAAACTAGCAGAGCTTCAGGTTTTAAACCTGAGGGGGAGAGAATGGCAGTGTCTCAAAGACATGGAAAAGCCCAGAATGAGTGAAGACACGGGAGATAAGGGAATACATTTGGTTTGGGCAATGGCAAGAAATAAGGATGATGAAAATACCCTTGAGGTAGCTGGAAATAAAAGACAAAGTCAATGGAGAACTTGGGACAAAAACTTTGAGATGTGCCAGAAGAGATGAATCATAGGAAAGGAGAAGATATCCCCAGGGGCAAACCTGGAGAAAAATGGGGCAATGGGCTGCATTCCCACAGGGGACCTAAGGACAAAAATACACCAGCCAAAGAGATCATGAAATCACTTCTGCAGTAGGGAGAAAAATCACTAGAGTGTAGTATTCCAAGAGACCAAACGAGAAAGAAGCTTTTGAGAAAGAGGGAATGATATTAAGGTCAAATACCCCAGGGAGATTAATAAGAATAACGTCTAAGGAAAAAAAGTACAGAATTGGAACAGAACTGGGGAGGTCAATGACAGAAGATAGATGTTTTCACCAACCTTAATGTTATTCAAAAATTTTTTCACCAACCTCATGTTATTCAAAAACTCTTAAGCCAAAATGAAGTTGACATCAAAGGTGCAACAAAATATTGCAACTGAATCTCCCCCTCTGGGTGGCACGTAGGCAAAACTCAATCCAAAAGGGACCACTTCTAGGAAACAGCACACAATCTCCCTTCTTCTTTACCTCTGGGAATACTGATTGCTGTAACATTCTCACTAAGGCAACTCGCAAGTAATTTTGTGGATCCTAAATGCATCCCATGCTGTTTACAGTTACTAAACATTTTCATGTAACCCAATGAAGGATGAAAAGGCAAGGCATTCCCCTCTATCTTATTACTTATGATCTGGTACACAAGGTTTTTATAAAACAGCAAAGAAAAATCTTCTAACAATTTACTAGTAGACAGAATTTTTTTTAGCTCCATCAAATTCCTAGCATTTTTTTCTTTTTTCATCAGCTTTACTGAACTATAATTTACAAACAATAAAATTCAACAAATTTTGGCAAATGTGTACAGTTGTGTAACCATCATCACAATCAAGATATAGAACACTTCTGTCACCTCAAAACGTTCCCTCATGCCCTTTGACAGTCTATCCCTCCTGAATCCTGATCCCTGACATCAACTAGATATGCTTTCTGCCACAATGGTTTTGCCTTTTCTAGAATTTCATATGAACATAATCATACATTATGCAGTTTTTTTATTTATTTTTATTTTTTTTTTTTAATTTTTTTTTCAACATTTATTTATTTTTTTGGGACAGAGAGAGACAGAGCATGAATGGGGGAGGGGCAGAGAGAGAGGGAGACACAGAATCGGAAACAGGCTCCAGGCTCTGAGCCATCAGCCCAGAGCCTGACGCGGGGCTCAAACTCACGGACCGCGAGATCATGACCTGGCTGAAGTCGGACACTTAACCGACTGCGCCACCCAGGCGCCCCTGTTTTTTTAAACATTTATTTATTTTTGACAGACAGAAAGAGACAGAGCATGAGCAGGGGAGGGGTAGAGAGAGGGAGACACAGAATCCGAAGCAGGCTCCAGGCTCTGAGCTGTCAGCACAGAGCCAGACGCGGGGGCTCGAACCCACGAACCGGGGAGATCATAACCTGAGTCAAAGTTGGACGCTTAATGGATTGAGCCACCCAGGCACCCCACATTATGCAGTTTTTTTAAAAATTGTGGTAAAATATACATACCAAGCAATTTGCCATTTAACCATTTTTAAGTGTATAGTTCAGGAGTGTCAAGGACATTCACACTTTCATTATGTAGCTTTTGTGTTGGGTTTCTTTAATCTCGTTCAATATTTTGAGATTCACCCACATGGTTATCAGCACTTTGTTCCTCTTTAACTGCTGAGTAGTCCATTATTTGGATATAGCACAATTAGATTATGTAATCACCAGCTGATGGACATTTGGGTTTTTCCAGTTTGGAGCTACTGTGAATAATGTTGCTATGAACACTTGAGCAGAAGTCTTTGCATGGACATACACCTTCATTGCGTTTCAGTAAATACCTAGAAATGGAGATGCTGGGTCATACGGTATGTTTTAATTTTATAAGAAACACCAGCAATTCCTTTCATCTCTCAATTCAAAGAAAGTGTAGAGTCCATGGACAATCAGCCAGAAGTCACTGCCTGCTATATTATACCACATCTCCCCAAGATGTGAGGCTAAATTTAATATTTAGAGTATTATGGGGGTGGATACTGGCAGAAAGAGCAATTCAGCTCGTGAAAAGCTAAATGACAATGCATCTGAAGCCCCTACTAAGTGACCCAGTGGTACACTAGGTGCCCAATAAACAGTAACTATTTTTGGTGCTATGGTATTTACTATTTCTTGAGATCAGTATGTTACATTGATGCTCAGAGTATTCTGATGATGAAGACTCTAGAAAGTTGTAGTGTAAGAGCTGAGTGTTCCTGAAATAAGAAGGTAAGGTCAACGGGGCGCCTGGGTGGCACAGTCGGTTAAGCGTCCGACTTCACCCAGGTCACGATCTCGCGGTCCGTGAGTTCGAGCCCCGCGTCGGGCTCTGGGCTGATGGCTCAGAGCCTGGAGCCTGTTTCCGATTCTGTGTCCCCCTCTCTCTCTGCCCCTCCCCCATTCATGCTCTGTCTCTCTCTGTCCCAAAAATGAATAAACGTTGGGAAAAAAAAAAAAAAGAAGGTAAGGTCAAGAGACACTAATGTTTGCTAAGTACCCCATGTAGTAAATTGAGTAACAGCCCCACAAAAATGTCTATATCCATGCCCAGGCCCTATGAATATGTTACCTTATTTGGCAAATGGGACTTTGCAGATGTGACTGAGCTAAGTAAGCATTGTGAGATCAAGGCGATTATCCTGGATTACTGGATTGGCACAATGTAATTACACAAGTCCTGATAAGAGGGAGGTGGCTGATATAAGACAGAGGTGATGGATGCACAAATTGTGAATATATTAAAACCACTGAATTGTACACTTTAAAATGGTTAAAATGGTGAATTTCATGTGTATGCATTTTATCCCAGTAAAAAAAAAAAATTATAAAAAGAGGGATGTAGGAGAGTCAGAGTTACAGAAGGAGACATGAGGACAAAAGCAGAAGTCAGAGAGAAGGAGATATTTGAAGACACTACATTGCCAGCTTTGAACATGAAGGACCACAAGCCAAGGAGTGCAGGCAGCCTCCAGAGGCTGGAAAGGGCAAGGAAACCGATTCTCCCATAAAGCTTCCAGAAAGAACGCAGGCCTGCTGACAGTCTAATTTTAGGCCTTCTGACCTCTAGAACTGTCAGATAAAAAAAAATCTATGTGGTTTAAGCCACTAAGCTTATGGTAATGTTAGAGCTACAATCAGAAACTAACACAATCCAGTATGAGCCAAGCACTGCGTTACATGCTTTGTCTATGTCGTTCCATTGACTCCTTGCTGGTGCCTCTGATTCATCTGGAAAAGAGACGCTTGGGGCACTTGGGTGGCTCAGTCAGTTAAACATTCGACTCTTGGTTTTGGCTCAGGCCATGATCTCACAGTTTGTGGGTTTGAGCACCATGTCAGGCTCTACAAGGAGCCTGCTTGGGATTCATTCTTTCTTTCTCCCTCTGCTCCCTTCCCCATTTGTGCACACTCTCTCTCTCAAATAAACTTTAAAAAGAGAGAGAGAGAGAGAGAGAGACTGACTCTTGGTCAAAATCAGGTAAATCTGTTAAAATCTTTTCTC